ATTTTTTGTTTTTTTTATATTTATTATTATATTTAATTCGTTTGTGCAAAATAAAAATAATAATTTCAGACAATACAATAGTCACGATTATTTTTTTAAAGAGAAAATTTTCGTTAGGCATCGACAAAAATTGAACCCCGAGCGACATGTTAAAGAAAGAAATTTCGACATTATATAGGTTAAGTAAGAGAAAAAATTTTAAAAAATCATTTTAAAGACTCGAAGTATTTAACTTTGCGTACTGTTTTAAACGAATAAAAAGTGTTTAGTAATTTTTTTACTGTGTAATATTGATATAAAGTAGTCCCTTCCTAAAATTAGTATTGTATTAATTTACATTTAAAATGATGGCTCTGCCATTTAAGGTTTAATGTTAATATAAATACGTCTATTGACGTTAGTATTACTCAACCATAAAGTTGATATTGATAAATTGTAGGAAATAAATTTATAATAGCAATTTATTCCTAGAATCGAATTATTTTCTGTTATAATAAAAAATTCATTATGTACAAATCTTGGAGAAATCGATCCGAGAAATGAAAACTGCTGAACATCAGTTAAATTCCATTCTGAAATTTTTCACTCGGATAATTACTTAATAAATAATTCTTACCTCATTACTCTTGTTTCTGTCTTCAATTTCATCATTCGTATCACATTGATAACTTCCAATTTTATCATCATCATCGTAAAAACCCGCACTCTCTAAATTAATGCTGTTTTCAGAGACTTTTTCCTTTAGTAATATTCCTGTATTCATTTGTAAATTTTCCAATTGTTTAAAATTTCCAATGAATTCACATTTGCCCTAAAATATATTAATCGCGTATATAAATACCATTGCCTCTATGTTTTTTATATAAAAAATATTATTTACTTGAAAATGTATGCAAATACATACTGGAATTCGTAAAGTTATTACGTGCCTAACAATTTTTACCGAATTTATCGGTAACCATTATCTTATTACTGGTATGTTTACCAATGGGTTTTTGAACTGGTAATACAATCCTTATTCTGTATTCACTGCCATGCATAGAAAAACAATGTTACTGTTTTGAAACTCGCCACTGTCCAGTGGATATAAATCACTAAACACTAAACGTTTGTCATAGATTTGTGCTTGACCCACAGACTGGCCTGATACATTTCACAAATTGTCATCGCGTATTATTTATTATACGTGATATTACCTATACTGATATAACTGTCTTTTTCCCAAAAAGAATTTCTTTTGGGAAATAGAGAGCCTGGATATTATCCACATACAGTATACTATTATACAATTAATATATATTATACATATTTGGGATGGATTATTTCATAAATAGAATACGTACATAATAATTTTTGTTAATGTGAATTTTATAGTGTTAAAATTCATGTAGTGCTAAAACAGATTATAATGTTATAATTGTAGAAATCATTAAAAATAAAATAGATAAACCGTTCATATATTCACCTTCTTTAACACTAATATTTTGCATGCAGGGTTTAAAAATTGAATTTGATGCGTAACTAGAATGCAAATCTTGTCTTTCAAATATTGCATTATACACCTGAAATAAACAAGAAGTTGAAATATAATAAAATATTCAAAAAATATTATTTAAATGTTTACTTTTCGAAGATATGTTTTGCCACTGGAACATCAACAGCACTCAGTGGATCATCCAGGAGGAAAATATCGGCATCCACATATAGCGCTCTGGAAAATATAAAGATTTATCGCCATTAATAAATTAATAAATTGTTCTTGTTCCATCGTTTATAGAATTTTCTGCGCTTTATGTTACGAAGTAGAAGAGACAGCGTCAGAGAAAATATGGAACATCAACACACGATGCCCCTGCTATCAAATCAAAAAATAACCGATCTAAAGTGATTTTATCTGATAACAGAATTGTGTTTCTTTGAACTAAAATATATATTTTTAATTTTATGTTATTTTCACTTCTCTGTATTTTAGCGTTTACAGGAATACACCACGAAGAATTAAGAAAACATCACTGAAAAGTGAAACAATATAGGTTTTGGGTGTCACTTTTTATCAGGATGTAATGACTAAAATCAAAACCAATATACATATAAGCAATAGTCGAGTTCCATTAAAATATATCTGTTGTTACAGTATATGTGTCTTATTACCATTAAAATTGTACTTTTATATTTGCACTGCTTGAAATATATTAGATGAGATCTTTCTTACCTCGCTAGATTAATTCTTGCCTTCTGCCCACCGCTCATTATAACTCCTCTTTCTCCTACAATAGTCAGATCTCTTTTAGGAAATAAGCTAATATCCTAAAAGTGGTAAATATAAAAATACATAATAAATATATTCTATGTAATACGCATTGACATCTTTATGAAAACTAAATACAGTATAACTGTTGATTTTTAAAAGTGTTTGACTTATTGAATGGTTTTCTTGATAAAATGAACTTTGGGTTTTGTATTTAAAAAACTCTTTAAGGTAATAACATTTAATTTTATGTTCTATCGATTTTGTAGTTTTGATCAAATAACGTTTTGTCTATAAAAGAAGTAATGAATCCAAAGTTTTGTTATTAAAAGTAGAAAAAATCTTACCTTTTCTAGTGCCGTTATATGCAAGATTTTTCTATATTTGTCTTCTTGATATTCTTCTCCAAACAAGATATTTTCTCTGATAGTTGCGTTGAACACCCAAGCTTCTTGAGAAGCGTAAGCAATCTTTCCTTTTACAGATACTTCACCAGAAGTAATTGGAATCTCTTTTAACAATGACATTAGTAAAGACGTCTAACAAAATTAATGTTATCTCATTATTTTATTCGAAATGTTTTGCATACATACCGTGTTTCCCCGAAAATAAGACATCCGCAGAAAATAAGACCTAGCACAGATTTTGCTGAATTGCGAAATATAAGACCTCCCTCTGAAAGTAAGACCTAGCGAAGTTTATTTTTAGTCGTAACGATCATCGACAGATGGTTGAAAGTGGCCGTTGGCTTTTTGAAAGTACAGCCACTGATTGGTCAGCAGACAATTACGCCACACGGCATGATTTGCATAAGACTATGGCTTGGGAATCACAGATTTGCATAACGTTACGGCTGGTGATGGCTAATTGGTCGGCCGGGAATCACGCCACATGACATTTGCATAGTGCTACGGTTCAGTAAGCACTAATTGGTCATCGAGTCCGATGTTGACGCTATAAAAAGGCGACAGTTCGACACATCGGATATACGTCACTCTCGTCTAAGTTCGACTTGGGAATTTTTTTGTTCAATAATAAATGTGAATTCTTCCTCCTGGAAAAAATAAGGCCTAGCGCACTTTTCAGAGCAAAAATTAATATAAGACACTGTCTTATTTTCGGGGAAACACGGTAATATAAGTACAGGTACATAAACATTTTAAAACTATGTGAGTGTTTGTATAAGAATATGTTCATGAATAAACTTGTGATTTATGCCAAAAAATAATTTGTCGTACATATAATCAAACGAAAAAATAATGATATCGATAGAATCAGGCACTCAATAGTTAAAAATATCAGTAGATACAATCTAACCTCTATTTAAGATGTTTTTGCAGAAATTTCAAATTAAAGATCAAATATGATTCTACAGTTCTGTATCTCAAAACTTATTTGTGCTAGTAACAACTTACAGAGTTAATAAATACAGATTGCAGACATTTCTAAAAAATAAATTGTTATAATGTTACACAATTAGAAATAAAAAGGTAACCATTTATACAATTTATTTTATTAATTTTTTAAACAATCTCTAAATCATAAATCATATAATTTTAATTTATAATATAAAACAATAATTACCTTCCCTGATCCAACAGGACCTATAACAATTAATAATTCTCTAGGTTGCATGTTTAGTGATATCCCATTTAATGTTGGTTCGAATTCCTTTTGTTTTAAACAAAAAAAAACGAAATTACTAAAATATCCACAGTTAATCTTAAAAGTTAAAAATTAAAAATAATACTTATGAACTATAAATTAATTTATGATAATGTCAGTTTTATATAGCTTAAAATAGTTATTTATAATATAGTATTTCATAATTAAAATTAATTTGTGTTTATTGGCATTAAAATGAATTGTATGTAAGCTACACATTTTTGTGAATTGAATGTTTAGTAAGATTTCAATAATCTTTCATCCTCTGAAATGTAGTTGGTAAACCGAAATTTTTTCGATAATATGATCTTCTAACAAAAAGAATTGAGTGCTCAGTGTGGTTCAAACCCATCTTTTTATCAATTTGATTCTTCACTCTTACATTCCAATAGTTCGCGTAATATTTTTCCTCGCGATTCGATTTGTCTAATACTTTCTGTAATTGAAACAGAACACCTGGGCCAAGAAAACAGAACGATTTCGACAAAATATTCGATTTTAAGCAGGAATGTTTGCTGACTTTACATCATTCATTGTCTTTAAATCAGATCATGTTCATTTCAGTAAACTTAATTGATGTAGAGTTCGTTATCAAATTGAAATTATCTGTGAATTAGAAAGAATGCAAACAATTCAAAAAAAATGTTACATTTAATTGGAAAATTATAGTAACAATATTCTGTGGTCCCATGCATAAAACCTGTAACTCGCATTTTGTCAAGTTCAACGGTTTTGACATATATCAAGTGGTTTTTAAGTCATCTTCCTTTGCAAAATCATTCATTGTGTATATAGGGTCAAGTTGAATAACACGTGTCAGACGCATTCAGACTCAGGTTCACAGTATCGCATTTCCGTGCACGATTCCTGTAAACCATAGTCACAACAGAAATGGTGTACAGCAAGCGCGGTTTTTCGTAAAACACTAAAAATAATTAAAATTTTGATGATTTATTAGACTTCATAACATGGAAAACGTGATAACAGGCATACTAGGATTCCCGAAAATAAAAATCAAATTGTGAGAGCAGCTTCACCAACAAAATTTCAATATATAGAAGTCACTACACACAGAGAGATAACCCAAACAGATAATACCTTGGCCGGAATTAAATCAACAGAAAGTACACGCACGGCGTTTACATAGAGAATTGCAAAGCAGCAGCTGAAAAATAAGTATTATGATTATCTGCTTTGCAACCCTCTATGTAAACGCCGTGCGTGTACTTTCTGTTGATTTAATTCCGGCGAAAGGTATTATCTATTTGGGTTATCTCTCTGTGTGTAGTGACTTCTATATATTGAAATTTTGTTGGTGAAGCTGCTCTCACAATTTGATTTTTATTTTCGGGAATCCTAGTATGCCTGTTATCACGTTTTCCATGTTATGAAGTCTAATAAATCATCAAAATTTTAATTATTTTTAGTGTTTTACGAAAAACCGCGCTTGCTGTACACCATTTCTGTTGTGACTATGGTTTACAGGAATCGTGCACGGAAATGCGATACTGTGAACCTGAGTCTGAATGCGTCTGACACGTGTTATTCAACTTGACCCTATATACACAATGAATGATTTTGCAAAGGAAGATGACTTAAAAACCACTTGATATATGTCAAAACCGTTGAACTTGACAAAATGCGAGTTACAGGTTTTATGCATGGGACCACAGAATATTGTTACTATAATTTTCCAATTAAATGTAACATTTTTTTTGAATTGTTTGCATTCTTTCTAATTCACAGATAATTTCAATTTGATAACGAACTCTACATCAATTAAGTTTACTGAAATGAACATGATCTGATTTAAAGACAATGAATGATGTAAAGTCAGCAAACATTCCTGCTTAAAATCGAATATTTTGTCGAAATCGTTCTGTTTTCTTGGCCCAGGTGTTCTGTTTCAATTACAGAAAGTATTAGACAAATCGAATCGCGAGGAAAAATATTACGCGAACTATTGGAATGTAAGAGTGAAGAATCAAATTGATAAAAAGATGGGTTTGAACCACACTGAGCACTCAATTCTTTTTGTTAGAAGATCATATTATCGAAAAAATTTCGGTTTACCAACTACATTTCAGAGGATGAAAGATTATTGAAATCTTACTAAACATTCAATTCACAAAAATGTGTAGCTTACATACAATTCATTTTAATGCCAATAAACACAAATTAATTTTAATTATGAAATACTATATTATAAATAACTATTTTAAGCTATATAAAACTGACATTATCATAAATTAATTTATAGTTCATAAGTATTATTTTTAATTTTTAACTTTTAAGATTAACTGTGGATATTTTAGTAATTTCGTTTTTTTTGTTTAAAACAAAAGGAATTCGAACCAACATTAAATGGGATATCACTAAACATGCAACCTAGAGAATTATTAATTGTTATAGGTCCTGTTGGATCAGGGAAGGTAATTATTGTTTTATATTATAAATTAAAATTATATGATTTATGATTTAGAGATTGTTTAAAAAATTAATAAAATAAATTGTATAAATGGTTACCTTTTAATTTTTAATTGTGTAACATTATAACAATTTATTTTTTAGAAATGTCTGCAATTTGTTTTATTAACTCTGTAAGTTGTTACTAGCACAAATAAGTTTTGAAATACAGAACTGTAGAATAATACTTGATCATCACTGAAATTTCAGCGCACACATCTTAAATAGAGATTAGATTGTATCTACTGATATTTTTAACTATTGAGTGCCCGATTCTATCGATATCTTTATTTTTTCGTTTGATTATATGTACGACAGATTATTTTTTGGCATAAATCAGAAGTTTATTCATGAACATATTCTTATACAAACACTCACATAGTTTTAAAATGTTTATGTACCTGTACTTATATTATGTATGCAAAACATTTCGAATAAAATAATGAGATAACATTAATTTTGTTAGACGTCTTTACTAATGTCATTGTTAAAAGAGATTCCAATTACTTCTGGTGAAGTATCTGTAAAAGGAAAGATTGCTTACGCTTCTCAAGAAGCTTGGGTGTTCAACGCAACTNAATGTATTACTTGGCTTTAATTTGAGTATGTTTTTCGCGTTGGAACGAATTATTTGGTTTTACATGTAATCGTATGGGAAAAGATGATCCACCTTACGACATTTTCATGATACGATCTCAGTTTCGGAACGGATTAATTTCGTATCCTGAGGTACCACTGTATATATATATTGGGTATGCTGCTGCATCTGTTACGAAAAGAAGCATATCTCATATTGAATCCCTGCTGACCATAAAATGTGCATCGCGTCATTAACTGTTTTGACAATGGTCGAGTGATTAATTTGATCAAACAATTCTGTGTGAATTAAAAATATTTCTACGTCTTCCTTCTTAGTGTTGAATGTTGAATCTGGAGATACAACAATGACGTTTATTTACTACTTACCATCCAAAAAAGCTTGTGGTTTCATCGACTCTTAACCTAACGTTTTATTCTTTGCACTTGTCCTATTCCTACAGTGACCATATTTTTGGGGGCCCTGAAATATATTAATCGCGTATATAAATATAATCGCCTGAATGTTTTTTATATAAAAATATTGTATACTTGAAAATGTACACAAATGCGTATTTGAATTCGAAAAGTTATTACTTGTTTACCAATTTTTACAGAATTTATCAGTAACAATTATCTTATTACTAGTAAGTTCACCAAAGCGTTTTTGAACTGGTAATGTAATCTCTATTCTATAATTACCATGCATAGAAAGAAAATGTAACTGTTTTCAAACTCATCAATGTCCAGTGGATATAAAGACTAGTCATTCGTCACAGATTTCTGCTTGACCCACTGACTGACCTGATACAGTTTCTTAAGTCGTCACGTATCTATATTGAAATAACAGTCTTTCTCCCGAAATGAATTTTTTTCGGTACAGAGTTTACATATTGTTTACATACAGTATACTATTATACAATTAATATATATTATACATATTTGGGATGGATTATTTCATAAATAGAATACGTACATAATAATTTTTGTTAATGTGAATTTTATAGTGTTAAAATTCATGTAGTGCTAAAACAGATTATAATGTTATAATTGTAGAAATCATTAAAAATAAAATAGATAAACCGTTCATATATTCACCTTCTTTAACACTAATATTTTGCATGCAGGGTTTAAAAATTGAATTTGATGCGTAACTAGAATGCAAATCTTGTCTTTCAAATATTGCATTATACACCTGAAATAAACAAGAAGTTGAAATATAATAAAATATTCAAAAAATATTATTTAAATGTTTACTTTTCGAAGATATGTTTTGCCACTGGAACATCAACAGCACTCAGTGGATCATCCAGGAGGAAAATATCGGCATCCACATATAGCGCTCTGGAAAATATAAAGATTTATCGCCATTAATAAATTAATAAATTGTTCTTGTTCCATCGTTTATAGAATTTTCTGCGCTTTATGTTACGAAGTAGAAGAGACAGCGTCAGAGAAAATATGGAACATCAACACACGATGCCCCTGCTATCAAATCAAAAAATAACCGATCTAAAGTGATTTTATCTGATAACAGAATTGTGTTTCTTTGAACTAAAATATATATTTTTAATTTTATGTTATTTTCACTTCTCTGTATTTTAGCGTTTACAGGAATACACCACGAAGAATTAAGAAAACATCACTGAAAAGTGAAACAATATAGGTTTTGGGTGTCACTTTTTATCAGGATGTAATGACTAAAATCAAAACCAATATACATATAAGCAATAGTCGAGTTCCATTAAAATATATCTGTTGTTACAGTATATGTGTCTTATTACCATTAAAATTGTACTTTTATATTTGCACTGCTTGAAATATATTAGATGAGATCTTTCTTACCTCGCTAGATTAATTCTTGCCTTCTGCCCACCGCTCATTATAACTCCTCTTTCTCCTACAATAGTCAGATCTCTTTTAGGAAATAAGCTAATATCCTAAAAGTGGTAAATATAAAAATACATAATAAATATATTCTATGTAATACGCATTGACATCTTTATGAAAACTAAATACAGTATAACTGTTGATTTTTAAAAGTGTTTGACTTATTGAATGGTTTTCTTGATAAAATGAACTTTGGGTTTTGTATTTAAAAAACTCTTTAAGGTAATAACATTTAATTTTATGTTCTATCGATTTTGTAGTTTTGATCAAATAACGTTTTGTCTATAAAAGAAGTAATGAATCCAAAGTTTTGTTATTAAAAGTAGAAAAAATCTTACCTTTTCTAGTGCCGTTATATGCAAGATTTTTCTATATTTGTCTTCTTGATATTCTTCTCCAAACAAGATATTTTCTCTGATAGTTGCGTTGAACACCCAAGCTTCTTGAGAAGCGTAAGCAATCTTTCCTTTTACAGATACTTCACCAGAAGTAATTGGAATCTCTTTTAACAATGACATTAGTAAAGACGTCTAACAAAATTAATGTTATCTCATTATTTTATTCGAAATGTTTTGCATACATAATATAAGTACAGGTACATAAACATTTTAAAACTATGTGAGTGTTTGTATAAGAATATGTTCATGAATAAACTTCTGATTTATGCCAAAAAATAATCTGTCGTACATATAATCAAACGAAAAAATAAAGATATCGATAGAATCGGGCACTCAATAGTTAAAAATATCAGTAGATACAATCTAATCTCTATTTAAGATGTGTGCGCTGAAATTTCAGTGATGATCAAGTATTATTCTACAGTTCTGTATTTCAAAACTTATTTGTGCTAGTAACAACTTACAGAGTTAATAAAACAAATTGCAGACATTTCTAAAAAATAAATTGTTATAATGTTACACAATTAAAAATTAAAAGGTAACCATTTATACAATTTATTTTATTAATTTTTTAAACAATCTCTAAATCATAAATCATATAATTTTAATTTATAATATAAAACAATAATTACCTTCCCTGATCCAACAGGACCTATAACAATTAATAATTCTCTAGGTTGCATGTTTAGTGATATCCCATTTAATGTTGGTTCGAATTCCTTTTTTTAAAAAAAGCAGAGTTATTACAATATTCACAGCTAACGTTAAAAGTTATAAATCAGAAATATTAATAATAAACAATTAATTAATTTATGATAATGTCTCAGGCAAGCCAGAATATCACAGTGAACACACTGTCTTTCTACACAGAAAACGTGCATTGAGCTTGAAGACAAAAGAAATTTGTGGAAGCCTCTACGATGGTTTAAAGCTAGAAAGCTAAATAAATAAAAACCTGTATTAAAACCAAGGACAATGCTCATTCGGTACATTCACAATACCATAAAATTCTTATAGAAAGCATCTATCGGGAAGAAGAGAAGTCTTCCAAGTAACAATGTTTCATTTCTATCCTCTACAATGAAAGGCCAGGAATTTCTTCACTTGACTTGGCTTATATCAGAAATGAGACGCCCGGAAAGCCGTGGAATGTCGAAATAGTAACT